TAAACTAAGTTTGTTGACAATATACAGTAGAATATGAAAATTATCTATGGGGTTGGCACAATTTAATATAGGGGTGAAAATAGTAATAATGTTTCATTCTGTGTTTGAAGGCCCTCTCATTGTGACGGTCACACACATCTGTGTGATACCTTCCCCTCTCTTGGCCTAGGTACATTTGAGAGGAATCCAGAGCTTCACGTGAGGGAGAGGGGAATGGAAGGGTATGGGAGGAATGGGTGATGACGAGTGTGGAGTATAAACACCGGCACAGACTGGTTGGGCTAAGTGGCTTGTTTCCTGGCCGTATATTCTTTGTGAATCTTTGTGAAATGGCACCTTGACATTGCAAAGGCATTGCTCCAAAATCTTTAGCTTCTTTTCACAATCACTGATAACAGAAAACATTAAGAGGCCAGGCGATCCACCTGATCATTGGGCATCTTCACTCGCTAGCCTTTTTGATGATCTTCCACTTCAAGGTATGATTAGCCACCTCCATCGGAGGAATTTTGGCAATTTACTCTCATGTGCACTGTACACAGATTACTACATTGTGTTCATATGGAATAACATGTTAGATTTCTATTCAGAAGCTCCACATTATACCACAATTACACTGAAACCCTGTAACACATTCAAAGCTCGGTGTGTCAAATCTTCACTTGGGGTTTAATGGACTGAATTCCATTATACGGATACTATCAAAAAATGTAGCGCCACTTTTTTAAAAAAAAGCTTCATATACATGGGTCAAAAATGCAACTTTAAAACTACCTAATCAATAGAGTTATAGGTACAGAATTGGTCTGTCATGCATCCTGAGATGTGATCAGTATAACAAGGAGGTATGTTCCTTGATGAGATGATAAGCAAGAAAGAAGTGGGTGGGTGTTTGCCCAGTTTGGCAGGTTTTACTGGTAATCATCCAAACTGGTGCCAGAATGAAGCAAATAGAAAATTTATCCCAGTTCCAATTCAGTGCTTATAATTTGGGTCAATTATCCTGAAGGCCAAAGTGTGACTTACCTCAGATCACCTAAAGTGGGTGATTTGTGCATTTTGTCCTCACATTAGCATAGATTTGAAGACTGTTCTATTAATGGTAATTCCTGTTTAAATAATAATAATGGAGTTTAATTTGGGGCATTTCTAAATGGAATTTTTCATAGCAAATTTCACTAGAATTGCTATGGACCACTAGAATTATGTTCTGAAAGTACATCATTCAAGGTCATTCTTTGTTGAGGAATTCTGCTAAAAGAAATATCTAATGTTGGAGCCACTGTAGCATTCATGGTGAGTAAGTAGATGTGCATATTTTAAAATTTTGTGTGATGTAGAGAGAATGAAGTACTTGTTTGGGAAAAATCCATCTGGTTTAATGCATGCAGGAGTCCTGCAGCTCAGTGGTTAGAGCATTCACCTTGCAAGCGAGCGACCTGAGTTTGATTCCCGGCAGGACAAAAGCTTGGGCAAGTTTCCTTACACCCTCAAAAAAAATTGGTCACTTCAATACCATGACTGTTTGTGGGACTCTGCTGTGTGCAATTGGCTGCCGCATTTCACCCACAAATATACAGTCGATTTACTTTACAGTGAATCGCTTTGAGACGTCTAGAAAATGTGAAAAGCGCTATATCGAATGTAAGGATTATTATGTATGTTCGTATGAACATTCTTCAACACTAAGAATTCTTGTTAATCCAACTGTGCCACATCATTTTCCTTGACTGGAAATTTGCTGCTCCTCACTGTTTGGAATATGATTTTTTTTAAAAGCTCATTAGTACTGTAGTGTTTCTGTGACTTCAGTATATAACTGCACACAGTGAACTGCAGTGTGCCTGTACGCAAATCCCTTGGGGGCTAGAGGGAGCCACAACATAGAAATACAGGCACAGTGACCTTGAAAACCACAGGTAACACTGTAACAAACGAAAAGGGTAACTGCAAATCCATATGTGACTGAAGGAAATGCCAATAAATGCCTACCACCTGCTGCTTTGTTAATGCCACATAGTTAGTTCAGTACATTCTGCTGAAAAGAATCTGCTTCCTCTGGAAGCTGGTACTGTATAAAGGTGACTCGTGCCAAAACATGACTGCTCTATCACGAATCATAAGTGGAGCCACTTAACATCTGGTTTAGTTTTATTTGCCAGCTCATGCTGCACAGACCCACATGTGTTTAAAAAGGTTTTGCTTATTTACAAAAATATAAAGGCAGCAGGAACAAACAGAATCGTGGTCAGGATGTGGCATTGAGGCCTAAAATTCCACTTAATCCTAGCCCATAAGACCGATTTGTGTTAAAATTCAAGACAATGTACAAATCAATCACACCTATGAAAATGTCCTCATGTCTGGAATGGAGTCTCTCTGGAGGAACATACCCTGCCGACTGAATTCTGAAGAGTTTTAGGTACAAGTTGGTGAGAGCCAGATCTTGGGGACCCCAGACAGTGTGTTAGGCTACAGCTGAATTTTAACCAGTTAAAACCACATAGTTGCCATTGAGCGAGGACCTCCCTATCTGTTTGGGCTCTGGCTTGCAGAGATAATAGAAGCTGAGTGGGAAAAATCCCTGATCCCAATGAATCTAAAAGTGTTCCACAATTCTATAGTGACCCTAAATTTTAAAATAAAATATCTTACAGGCTGAGACTGGGTGGAATTTTGAAGCACTTGAGCCCGCAATAGCATGGTGGGAAATTCAACAGAGTCTGCTATTATTATTTTTACTCCACCCACATGTCTAAAATAGAAGTCTGTGCAAAATTAACCCAGGGGAAGTGTGCCTCATTTGCACGAGCACCAATTCAGCAGCTGCAATTGTAATGGGGTCTATTGCACATTGGATTCTGGACAATTTGAGAGCTAATCTGATCACCAGTATAACCACGGGTCAGAGGAGTGCAATTTAGCTCTGCTTCCCATTGACTTATTCTGAATTTCTATGGTGGCAGGGTAGTAAAGACCTGCTGCCATGAAAAGTCTTTCTATTTAGCTGTTATTGGCATGAACAAATAATTTAATCCACTTTGAGATGAGTGAAGGGCTTCTGTAACAGCTGATAATCCATATATTGAAATAAAGTACTGCAGTGACTCTTGGTTGTTCAGAGTAGCTTGCGTGCATCTTCCAGAGGGTCTGAATGCCAAATAAGACTACATATGTATTTTAGAATGAAGTGATGCACTGTGAACAATGCAGCTGTCTGCATCTTTGTAGGTCAAATAACCATATCCATGGCAGCTGCACATAACAGCAGCTGAGCTGGTAAGGGTACCATGAGTAGGAGAAATAAAAGAAGCAAAGCTAATATAGATCATTTTGTATTCATGTCAAAATAATCACTGTATCAGCACTTTGAGGGAAGGGAATGAATGGGTGGGTGAATTCAAAGCAACATATATATGTGTGTAAATATATCACTCAGCGTGAACCAAACCAAATATGAACTGAAAGGTAGTTTTGAGGTGCACTTCACAGGCAATCCTAAAGTAATTGGAAGTCAGCAAGTGTGAAAAAAGTAATTCTGAAATGACTAAAATTAAATGTCTAAATGTGCTGTGTAATGTTATGTGTCAACTTGGCTCTGTTGATGGCATCAGAAGGTAGTAGATTCAAGCTCCATGTCGGGACTTGGAACCCATTTAGTCAATGCTGACATCCCAATGGACTGCATTGTCAGAGGAGCCATCGATCTGGTAAGATGTTAGACCACGGTCCTACTTGCTTGTCCAGTGGAGTGTTAAAGATCCCATGACACTATTCAAAAAGAGAAGAAAGTTTCTCCTGGTGTCCTGGCCAACAATTCCATCCCAACAATTTGCTCATTCACTCCATGGCTGTTTGTCGGACATTATTATGCACAAACTGGTTGCCGTGTCTGCCCAAAAATACACACTGTCGCAGCACTTTACAGTTTTTCCTGTGAAGTGCTTTTGTGATGTCTCAATAATGTGATAAGGTGCAATATCAATTGCAAGGATGATGATTATTATGAGACTTGAGGTGGTTGATTTGCAGTTTGGTACATGGCATTACCCTAGTTGAAAGATAATCCTTGAGAACAATAATATAAGGTATGTTAACATTAATTTCATAGTTGATAATGCGGTATCTATATTTAACAGTTATTATTTTATGCCTTGTACTTTGCTCAAAAAACCTAAAAAATAAGGCCCCAAACTTCTGGCCTTAAGACCATTGTCATAATTTTGAATACCATGAGCAGAAGATAATGAATAAGCTGTCTTCTGCTCGTGGGATCCAAACAATCTGAGTCAAAGCCACAATATTTTTCATTCAAAAAAAGTCAATTCCCTTTATAGTATATTTTGTGAAACTCTTTGAAACATCTCGAAGATGTGCCAAGGCGCTATATCAAATGCAAGATTTATTATAATAAAGTAGATGGCCATGGTTAAAACCAGCAAGTGCTGTGAGGCTGCTCAGCGGGGCAGTGATGTATGCTAAGACAGTTGGGAGTCGGAGGTTTAAACATGCCTCACAGAAACTTTTGGACCCGGAATTGTTTTTTTTTAAATGTTTTGGTCCTGGTCCGGCTAGATTCAAATTCTGGATACTGGAGTTCGGTAAGAAGCAGTTTACTGTAATTGCAAAATAATCTATCTTTATCCAGTATCTTTGCAAACTCAGCATCCAGTTTGATTCATACTCACACAAAAATAATCTTGCTTGTTCATATATAATCCTCCCCTAATAATTTTCTCAATTTCCATGTCAACTTGACATTTCTATTCAATCTGTTAGTAATATGTAACAATAACCATAAGAATTGGATTATTGCCCATGGTATTATCACATATTTAGCAATGGATGTACTGGAACAATGGACCACACAGAGTGATTCAACCAATTAAATGTAACAATTTATTCAGAATTAGGACAATTAGAAAACCAATGACATTTTCAAAACGATTATATCTATTTTTGGACGAGTCTTAACTATTTCCAATTTCACATCTCCCATCAAGCGCTGTTCGTATCGACCTCTCTGGTTGCTCTCTCAAACTCATGGAGCCAGTGTGGAATCTTGAGGTTTTGGTCAACCCACAACTATTATTTAAATATTCCATCTGGGCTTTGATCAAGTCTTCTTTCTTTCATCTCTGCAACATTGCTCACCTCTGCCAATACAAGGATTATTCTTATTATAGAATCAATGGCATAACGCTACAGCCTCCCCGAACATTATTAATGGTAAGTCAGTTGCATCAAGAGAAGTGTCTTTGGATTGCTGTTTTCTGGATATCTCAGTTTCTTTTCTAAATTATAATTAGATTACAATTACAAATATAATTTAATGTATTATAATTACAAATATAATTCCAGCCAAATACCTGTACAATGGAATAAAAAGTGTGATCTGTGATGTGGTTAAGTATAATGATTGCTTTGCGGAAAACTCCGCCCTGTTGCTGTTTTAACTAACTTTCTGTTTGGCAGGCTTTCTCTTACCTTCTAGCTCAAAGCCAGCCCATGCCACACATTGCAATTGCTGCACTGTATTGTAGTGCTGGTTAGTGGGATTCTAACATAACTGGACTGAAAATACAGTGAGTGTTCAACTGGTACTCTGCTCACCTACACCTCAACAGAGCAACTTGAGCAGGGACCTGAAAATGGGAAGAGAGGGGACGAGACGAAGGGAGTGAGGAAGGCAGTTCCAGTGCCTCGGAGCATAGTGGCTGAAGGCATGGCTGCCGAGGGTGGAGCGGAGGACTCGGGGGATGAAGAGGAGGCCAGACCCGGAGGAACGGAGGTAACGGGTACTGTTTTGAGGAGAGAAGAGGTCAGAGAGGTAGGGGGTGCAGAGGAGTGCAGGGATTTGAAGACAAGGGTGAGGATCTTGAGGTCGATCCTCTCTGGGATAGGCATCCAGTGCAGTCTGGCGAGGACTAGAGTGATCGGGGAGCGGAGTTTCGTGCGGGTGAGAACACGGGCGGCAGAGTTTTGAATGATTTGGATTTTATGGATGGTAGTGGATGGGAGACCGGCGAGGAGGGCGTCAGAGTAGTCCAGCCGAGAGGTGATAAAGGCATGGCCCAGGGTTTCAGCGGCTTTTGAACCAAATAGATGTGCAAAGGGTGCTTCAGGCCAGCTTCAAACCATATGAGTTCCAAGTCCTGACATGGGGTTTGAATCAACAACAACAAAATTACATTTGTATAGCGCCTTTTATGTCAAGAGGATGCCCAAGGCACTGGACAATCACTGTTTCGGAAATAACTTTCTGACTCAGAGGCGAGAGTTCCACCAACTGACCAGGCTGACACAATGTAAACATATGTGAATACGATTTACATTTATATAGTGCAGTTTATGTCAGGGGGACATCCCAAGGCGCATTCACAGTTCTGAAGGGTCACCTGAGCTGGAAGTGGGAGCTAAAGGGGTGTGGGGAGGGGAAAGATGACAGAAAGCATGGTCAAAGAGGTAGGTTTTGAGATCTGCCTTGGAAGAGGAGAGGGAGGAAGGGAGTGGGTGAGACTCCATCCTGGAGTTTCAGAATATCATATTCCATTCCATATAGATTTTCTATACCAAGTGCAGCAAAATATATTCAGTTTGCAAGGAACTAATCTGAAGTTAAGTAATGGCACCACTGGAATATCTATGCGATAAATGTAAGCCTTTCCCTTGATTGCCACACAAGTTCTGCTTCTTGTTAGTCATTCTGTAACTTCCTAACTCCTCATTCCTTTGCCACTCCCAAAGTACTTTTGACAATTTTGGTCAGTGTGTCTCACTTGAACTTCCACTTCCTGTCTCTTCCGAACTGCCAAAAATACAATCGTGCAATTCCTTCCTTGTTCCTGTGGCAAAAAAACAAGAATGTGGGATGTTAAAGGGGTTGGGTTTAATCATGGTCTCCAAGCCACAGGAAACCAAATAATTTCCAGTGATCACTAAAGGGAAGCATAAATGGACTATCTAGAGGCAAACTGCATTGTTTAAATCGAAACATTTTCCCACCAATGTTCTCCCCTCCTCTTCTAGAGAACTATGGTTCAATGCAAGCTGTTTACCTTTATCATACTCAGTTCCCATTCGTCGTGTGTGATCCCAGATCAAGCCAAGGATTTTTCTAACGTGTATGACTGAATTCCACACAGGGTAGTGCTCTACTAACTGTGTAATCAGGAAAACCTCGGGATTAATACCATATGTAGAGGATCACAGGCATGAATCCTCTCATTCTGTGGCACAGCACACAATGGATCACCTGCTTTTTGGGGTACCTGAAAATAATACTCTGATAATAATCCCTGTATTTGATACAGTGCATTATTATGTTATCATAATTTGGGATTATGGGATGTGGGCCACTGCTGTGCGCAATTGGCTGCTGCGTTTTGCCCACAAATATACAGTCAATTTACTTTACAGCATATTCTGTGAAGCGCTTTGAGACATTGAGAAGACATGAAAAGCACTATATCAATGCAAGGATTATTATTATTATCACATTATGACCAGGGAACTTGAAATCTAGTTTGGATGGAGACTGATGTCTGTTGGAATGTTGCTTTTGTTATTTGCATGGTATTGTTTTGGTCATTTACACTCCACAGGTAGCAGGAACTGTTAAAGGATGCTATTGTCTGAAGGAGGCCTGATTTACACGAAAACGTATCGTCCCTGTGATCGCGTATTGTGTGAATGTAAGAGTACACTCACACAGGGATAAATCAATAGGTGTTTGAGCAGGCAGCAGAGTTGCACCTTGAAGGTACTTGTAACAAACAAGTGGGTTAGCTCACTCCTCTGCTCAAACTGTAAGTGGCAGCATTTTATGTATTACGACTCCGACTTAATTTAAGGCTTTGGGGTGTCGTTAAAATATATGCTTGTGTCCATTAAATATTTTAAAGCTATTTCGAGAAGTGCATATTTTAAATTTGTTAGTATCAATGGATACTGCTTTTATTTTCCTGACTCGAAAAGCCCCGAACTTTAATCACTGAAGAATTCAAGTTCTATGACATTGTGAAGCGCTTTGAGACATCTCGAAGATGTAATAAGGCGCTATATCAAATGCAAGGATTATCATTATTATCAAATGATGTGACTGTATTTTTGGGGGCGAGCAGCAAATTTGCACACAGCAAAAATAATAAAATAATAATCCTTGCTTGTAGTGACTACACTTATCAAAAGAATCTCATATCTGTGCATAGATGTTGCAAAGCTCCGACTCATCAGTGCCTCATGATGCTTTTAAAGGGTTACATCTCAGGCAGAGTTTTAACTACAAGTATTAAATAGTTAATGGTTAGTTTCACAAATATAGTTCAAAGGAATACCATACAGAGTACCATGGAAACGATATTGCTGCCAGTAATAGAGCAATTAAGCAGAAAGTGAAGTTATATTGCGCTCTTGGAATCATGCTCACCGGGAGCTAAGCAGGATTTTGCACATGTGCATCTTAATGCAAGTGCAAGTAAGCACATGTCTAACTAATGAATGCTTGTGTATCTTTTGCACTCCACAGTACCAGGTATTTGTTTAGCTTTTATTTAAATAGAAATGTACCCAGTTCTCAAAAAGGAAAGGCACTTACTTTTTATTTAACAATGACCACACTGGACTTTTTATTCTTACTGGAACATACTTAGAATTCCAACCAAGGGTTAATCATTCATGCTGAAACGCAATTTATAAATCCACAGAACTATTCAGTTCCCCACCCTGTCTCCACCCCCACCACCGAGTCCCATGAATAGCACTAATTTGACAGTATATAGCCTCATTGTTACTGTGGTCAAAATCAATGATAATTGAGCCTCAGAACACAGGCTATGAAAATATCATTTGCAACTAGTACATAGAAAGTTTCTATCCAGCTTTGGCTTCTGCCCAACTAAACCCATTGACAAATAACATCAGTCTGTTTCTTCCACCATTTCTAATGTTTCATTTGCTCTTTTAAATAAGCTCACTTTCTGCGTAAAATCTTTTGTACTCTTTCAAAACTAACCGACCAAATTGTAATAACAATCCTTGCAGTTGACAGTACTTATAATGTTAAAATGTCCCAAAAAAGCTTTTTAGTGACTATTTCTAGCAGCCGATTTGCACACATTAATGCCCTGTTAATAGCCAGGAAGTGAATGATCAATTTATCTGGAGAACTGTTGATCAGGACACTGGGAAACTCCCTTCTCTTTTCAAATAGCACTGTGAGACTGAACAAACAGAATGGACCTTGGTTTAACGTCTAATCTGAAGGACAGCAGCTCTGACAATGCAATGCTCCCCCAGTCCTACACTGGCGTCTTAGCCACTTTTAAATTTACAGATTTAAATTGTAAAAGTGCCTTTTGTCCCAGTTGCATCAACTCCAGTGGTGATTTTTGGTTTTGCAAGGGAACACGAGAGAATGTATCAAATGCAGATGGGAATGAAAACATTGTATAAATGGCAATTGTAAGAGGAAAGAGACACAGGTAGCGAAACAGTCTGTGAACTAAAGTTCTACACACCACTGAAGGATGCAATAGTGGCTCTAATTTTATGTGTCCCAAGTAGAGAGCTATGCTTCCACTCTCTGTTCATCATCCTTGCAAAATAAGAGAAGGCAGAGCTTTATGCAGGTGTTCTCAATAAAGGTATATAATAAAGTATTGTCGTCTGGATTTTTAAGGATGGAAACATATGACAAGTTAGTCAGTACTTTGCTATCGGTAAAATATGATTTGGTGTGTTTTCAACTTTGAAACCTTTTTTGGCACCAGCTGCTTTTATGCTTAGGTTGACACACATCCTTAATGGTGCAAAGCTACAACATTCACCGATATAGTGCACTAATTGGAATTGCCAGTTTTGTAAAGCATTTTGGCATTGGCTCTGAATCAAAGAGAATGCTGCACTGATGCCAAAAATGCAACATAAAAGGAACGTACCACATTAATCAGATGAAATCCCTTGCAAGCGTTATGGATTGAAGAGGCAGGCTACTCTGCTGCTCAGGGTCGTGCAAAGTAGAGCTCAAAGCAAAACTTGTTTCTATAGTTAGCAATTCAAAGCTTTTGTTTTGCTGGTTATTGAGGATGGGTGAGGTTATCAATTTGGCTTCTAATTCCAAAATATTTTCTGTGCATATCCGTTGCTCAGTTGACCATGTGTTGTTATACTGGATGTTATTTAAAGCAGTAAAGAAAAGAAAAAAACTTTTGTTTGTTTTGAAAATATCCTTCCACTTCTTTCATTGAGTATTTAAGCATGTCAAAGTCCTTGCTCTTTGTAGGTTGAAGTGGGGATTGAGATTCTGGATATTAGCAACATTACATGGGTGTGCTTTCATCAAAACTGGCTTTTTATTGAAACTCAGGCTTTTATATTCTGATTAATTGTTAGATTGGATCAAGAATATTTTATAAAATGCAAGGTGAAAAATTCAGAAACATTATGATATGTATACACTCAATTCACTTTACAGTATATTCTGTGAGTGCTTTGAGAGGTCTCAATGATGTGATAAGGTGCTTTATCAAATACAAGGATTATTATTATCCTATTACTCTATTGCATCAATACAATCTTTTTCTAAATTGGTACAAAGAGCACTGCAGCCCATTTGCAAAATAAAGCAACAGAACTGCTTTAAACTCAACTACCACACTCACACTGTTTATTTTGTTGAAATAAGGACATTTTTAAACCAACAAATACACAACAACAACAACAAGATTCCATTTATAGAGCGCCTTTCACGTCGGGAGGACGTGAAATACACAGCACCATGGCTATTTTTGAGAAGCAAAAAGCAAGCACTAGATAAAAGCAGAGGCATTACTATCTTAAATCTAGAGGCTAAATTAATTTTCACTTTGAAAATCATGGGTTAATGAAGGACAGTCAACACAGATTTGTTGAAGGCAAATAGTGTCTAACTAACTTGATTGAGTTCTTCGATGAAGCAACGGAGAGGATTGATGAAGGAAGTGCAGTTGATGTTGCCTTTTGATATGGACTTTCAAAAGGCATTTGATAAAATGCCATATAATAGATTTATTAGCAAAATTGAAGCCCATGGGATTAAGGGAACAATAGTAGCACAGTAACAGATTGCAAGAGGACATAGACAGGCTGGTGAAATGGGCAGACACGTGGCAGATGGAATTTAATGCAGAAAAGTGTGAAGTGATGCACTTTGGGAAGAGGAATGAGGAGAGGCAATATAAGATAAACAGTCAATTTTATAGGGGGTACAGGAGCAGAGAGACCTGGGGGTTCACAAACACAAATCTTTGAAGGTGGCAGGACAAGTTGACAAAGCAGTTAAAAAAGGATATGGGATCCTTGGCTTTATAAATGTAGGTATAAGAGCAAGAAAGTTATGTTGAACCTTTACAAATTGCTGGTTAGGCCTCAGCTGGAGTATTGTGTCCAATTCTGGGCACTTTAGGAAAGATGTCAGGGCCTTGGAGAGAGTGCAGAGGAGATTTACAAGAATGATACAGAGATGAGGGACTACAATTATGTGGAGAGACTAGAGGCTGGGATTATTCTCCTTAGGCAGAGAAGATTTAGGGGAGATTCAATTGGGGTGTTCAAATTTATAAGGGTTTTTGATAGAGTAGATATGGAGAAACTGTTTCCACTGGCAGGTGGGTTGATAACCAGGGGACATAGATTCAAGATAATTGGCAAAAGAACCAGAGGGGAGATGAGGAGAAACATTTTTACCCGAGACTTGTTATGATCTGGAATGCACTGCCTGAAAGGGAAATGGAAGCAGATTTGGTAATAGCTTTCAAAAGGGAATTAGATAGGTACTTAAGAAGGAAAAAATTGCAGAGCTATTGGGTAAGAGCATTGGAGTGGGACTAGTTGGTAGCTCTTTCAAAGATGAAACAGGGATAATGGGCAGAATGGCCTCCTTCTGTGCTGTAAAATTTTATGATTCTATGAAGTCGTACTCTAGTTGTATATTCATCTCTACTCACTGCCCACAAAATTTCCATCACTCACATATTTTATCAATATGGATGCTTTCAGACGACATACATTAAATCCTGCTTAAAGAGCAAGAATTGGATTTCTGCGGTAATACGTTCCAGCAACAACCGCAAACACTTACTGCACTAGATAGTTTTTGAAATCCTTAACCCATCATCAAATACTTTTCAAAACTCTCAAAATACTGCACATATGTATGTGTTATATAAACACACATGAAAGTTTACAAATCAAAACAGGGTAAGTCAATTCATTTCAGAATTAATTGAAATGAAATGTTAGCAATTTAATAAAAAAAAGTTAATAAAAAAACAAATAGGGATGAAATTAAAGCATTTCATAACATAATCAATTTGATAGTTATCATGTTTAATTTGATCATTGTTGTCCTGTATGGCTCTATTGCACAAATGTCATCACAGTAAAATGTCATCACCATCAAGTTAAAAAGGGAATCTGTGATCAGTGTTAACGTTCTGCAGTTTGTAATATTAAAAAGCTATGGTACTTTTTGTTCTGAGAGGATTAGAAAATTAGCATCAGATTAATTTAGTAAACTGGTACAATAGACTGAAAGGGCTGAAGGTCTTTTACTGTACCCATTACCCATCCTCCACCCCGATTGAGTGCAGCTTCTATTAAAGCGTGGGTCTACTGTGGATCTGTGCTAACCAGGAATGATACACCTGGTTTCCAGCTCTGAATAGCCAGCTTCCAACACTAAAAGATGACAGATTTTGGGTTGTCAGATTGTCGTTTTGAGAAGGAAATGACATCAGTGGTGCTACTTGTGCATGTATGTTAGTGGCGACTGAAAAACTGGGACTTAGACATTTTGTTGCATGCGCTTATAATGCAGAGTCTGAGCTATTGGATTAAGATGACTGCGATATATCAAAGTTGCCCTTTAAGTTATCTGGGCATGATGATGCACATTTTAATCTCTAAAGAAAATGATTCTGACTATTGGATTAAGATGTGATGCGAGTCTTATCGTATGAAACAACTTCCATTCATATAACATCCATCAAACAGGATAACATTTTGGAAAACAGAAATAGACATTGAAATGTGTTGTTGGAATGTGCAGTTGACGCTCTTTTATTCTCCTCCCCTCCCGAGATGTTTAGTAAAGTGGAAATTATTTTTTCATGCAGCTTTGAACCTAGTGAGAACGTGATTACATTTATAAATCATGGAACAGAGAGCAATAAAATAAACATTTCTTTGATTTTATGCCTTGTAGAAAATGATTTTTTTTCTATAAAAAATGATTAGATTTCCATCACTGTTTCTATAAAAAAAAGCATTGATGTAGCTAAATGGCAAATTAAGATGCTTTTGAAATTTTGTCTTAACAATGGATGTTCTTTATCAACTAATCTTGCATCCAGTTGGGTGGACTTCCTTTGTGTTATACAACAGCTACTGATTGAACCTTCTTTCCTATTTGGAGTAACAGAAGGAAATTAGCGCCGAAAATATTTATTTTTCAAATGATATCTTTACACAGCTTCAATTCAGAGAATTTTTTTGAAAGGGCTGGAGCTTTGTTATCTTGAATCTTATCAGGAAATTAAGTCTGCCTAGGAAGTGTTTGCTTTCCTTTTCCTGTTGACTTACAATGTATTAATCGCTTTTGTTTGGCAAGCAGCTCATTGAAACTTTAACTGAACCACTGCCCGTGAAGTTTTCTCATGGCTATATAATCTCTTGCAGTTCATTCACTATTCTTTTCACACAGCCTTTAATACCTCAGCCTCTGAATGAGCACAAGAAATATCTGAAGTTGAAGCATTTCAGGGGATGCAAAGAATGAGTACATTTCTGATCCTCCATTACTCAAAAAGTTGTGGGTTTAATCCCCACATCGGAACTTTGAGCTCATTCTCTAGGCCGACACTTGAATCCAGTGCTGGAAGGCTGCTGCATTATCGCAGGTGCCATTCTTCGGATTAGACATTAAACAAGGTCCCGTCTGCTTATTAAATTGACATCAAAGATGCCATGGATCTATTTGAAATGAGAAGAGAAATTTAGCATGATCTTTTAAAATTAAGATATAATAATAGTCCTTGAATTTGATATATCGCCTTATCAAGTCTTCGATACGTCTCAAAGCGCTTCACAGAATATACTGTAAAGTGAATTGACTGTATATTTTCTGAGCAAAATGCCCGCAAACTTAAGAGAGGGTGGGAGTGCGAGGTGACCATAGGTGCTGTTGAAGAGATAGATTTTAAACTGGGATTTAAAGACAGATAGTGAGGGGACAAAATCAGAGGATTAGAGGGAGAGAGTTCCAGAGATTAAGAGGGTAGAATCTTAAGGTTCGGCCATTAATGGTGGCTTGAAGAGGGGTATGCAGGTAAACTAAACAAAATCATAATATTCATTCCATGAACACCTTTTTCATAAAAATTCACAAATTCCACCTAATTCAATACAAGGCTTATACCACCCAGGAGTTCTTTTTGCTTCAGAATAAGCACAAGTTTGAAACATGAAAGATCAAAGCAAAACTGAACACAAATCAATGACTAACTTACAACATGTGATGTTTGTTGATTGTGTAATTTGGATGCTACTCTACAAGTCCACTCCCTACTCAGATCGATATTACAGTTTTGAGCATAGTACTGCAAAGAAGAAACTTTCACATGGTTCTATAAATTATATATTACACGCTGTCATTTTTAATACACCGTGAAACCTTCTCTGGTGCTTGTAATTACTTTCACATGTGAAGATCATCAACCAGAACACACATCATTCCTGCTTCAAGCACATTGAAATAGATTTACAATGCCATTTGTACGTGTCAAAACTAAAGTAAGTAAACTGAAAGTGACACATTTTCATTTGTAGTTCAGTAGAAATGTAATTTCTGTTACTGCATTAACACACAAGATCAGTTCTGTAATGAAAAACACAATTGTAGTGATCAATGTGAGTTTAGCAACACTAAACATTTTTTTAA